TAGTGAGTTATATTAGTTCAAAATTGAAAACAGATTTTCAAATTTCAATTTAGTAAAACGGATATGAAGTAGATATGAAAACGTGTAGCTCGACATATCTTTCCTTTAGACTTCGGCACTGGAATGGAAGTACGTAGGATAATGACTCGATAATAATTTCATTAAAATTGGTAATAATCTATTTTAATTTTAAAGTACAAAATATAGCCATTTCATTTTTAAACATAAAAATTAAAAAAAATCTTTCGATGACATACTGTTGATTGACGTTGGGTTCGTCTCATTTTTTTTATCAGATTAGGAATAACATCATTTTGATCGCCACATATATTATTTTAGCCTTTTAACTATTTTCCAGTTTTAAGATTCGATACACAAATAGAAATAGACAGACGAATAGAAATGTCAAATAATACACCCACCAGTCATATAATCGTGTCTACAATATCGCTACAAATGAAAAACCTCCAAAATACTATAAAATGGCTGACATAATTGAGGAAGTATAAATTACCTTAATGTCTTTAATAATACATTTATTTGTCCCCTAATACCCGCGAGGCGGCGCTCAGAAGCGTTTAGCAATTTAAATACTATGACTCCGCTTAAGCCTTTATTTTCCCCTTTTTGATGAATCCATCTAAATAATTAACCACGGTTGGTGGCCAGGAGTCACTGTTGATAGCATATTTTGCACTGAAATTTTTTTACGGTATAGTATTTAGATATATTTTGAATTTTAAAACATACATACTAGGTATTTTCTTACTTTATTAGTTACAAGCGACTTATCCTGTCTTTGTCCGATTGCAGCTCTAGGCGCGTAATATAAATTAGCGTATTTGTTACTTCAGGTCATAAGTCTTTTTGTGTACTAAATATTAACGAAATCAGGATCAGGTGCTTCAGCGTAAAGAAGCAACAAAAATATACATACATATGTACATGAAGCGAGAGTAAGAGAATAAGATATATAAAAAAGTAATTGTCAAAAAAATATGGTCGTTGAAAATCTGGTACTGTTCTTATAAAAAATACTTCAGTAATCACATCAATAGCTTCAAACGCGAACCGTTTCTTGTGATCCTTTGTGCGTACCCGTTGTAGCTGCCAGTATTATATTGTACAAATTATTACTCCAGTTCACAAATCTAGTTGACAACGACGAAGCTGCGAGCTCTACAACAATATATTTAAATGACTTGATGTAAGTTTGTACAAATATCGATAGCTCATATCATACAAGTATATTATACATATATGTGTTGCGACAAACTTTTTAATTATATTACTCGTAAATGTGACTGTTTATCTATTTGTTTTTTCTTTGCACCAGCGGAGTAAAAAATTAACGTTATTTTTTAGACTAGTCTATTTTTATCGCAGTACGTGACTGTAATTTTCATGGGATTATTGCCCATTAAAATTATGTCATTGATTACTAGTTATATGTAAATATGATAAAATTTAAGTTACAAAAGATGGGATATAATGATGTTAAGTATGAATTAATTTGGCATACACGTATACACCAGTCTTTGTCCATCCAAAATGGAATAAAAATATTTCATATATGTATATAATTAAATATGAATGAGTTTTTTTATGTTTCTGAATGTTAATTGTTCCCAGTAATACATATAAAATATATATATATATATATATATATATATATATATATATATATATATATATATATATATATATATATATATATATATAAAACATAGTACATTTACAAAGACAAGACTATCTGCAAATGCTCTTCGCTTGATATTGTTAGGAGGTTGCATGTTAACAGGCAATTAGATAAAAGTGACACACTCGTGTCGTAATACGTGCTACGCCGTAGCAACTACTACGTAGAGCCGATGTACGCGGGTGACCCTTGGTTGTGCTGTTGGTTTACTCGCTGTAGCAGCATCCTACGTTGTTCCTATAATCACATGTGTCATACAAGTCGTACTAATATTATAAATGTAAAAGTTGGCGTGTGTGTATGTGTGTGGGTTACTACTTTAGAGATAGATTACATCCAAAATTAGTATATTGTTTATCGATATATCCTTAGCGCGAGTAAAGTCATAGGCCGAAACTGGTTATATCAATATTAGTTGGTTTGGCATTATTATTTTGGTAGCAAATACCGGATTAAAAATAATTTTTGTTTTGTAATTAAAGAAAAAAGTCGAGAGCTTCTGGCATACTACGAGTATGGTCATGAAATTTCTAACAGTGATTTTTCCTTGTTTTAAGAGTCAAGATGTGTAGAGACCACACACCCCACACACACATAAGACATATAGCACTTAACTAGTAAATGTCGCGTGATTCTTGTTTATAAAATAAGAGTGTATGTTGTTTTTTTCTAATAGATTTTTCTTCTAAGGCCACGAATGAATGTCAAAGGGCAAAACACTTTAGACAATTCGTATGTAAAATTGAATAAAAACTGAGAGTATCATATCAGTACCACAAGGTCAAATTTGTTGTTTTTGAAATTTTTATCATGAAATTAATACAGTATTGACACAACTCTTTACTTCAATAAGCTATATTAACTATTCAATGGTTAATTTTTAGGTTTTATCCTTTTAATGTTCATTCTTTATAAAATTTTATTCTAAACTCAACAGACGGGTGGTTAGAATACCGAAATGAAACCGAAATTAACCACAAGAGGAACCATACACTATTTTTTGTTTTAATTTAATGTATACGTAAATAAACTTAGTAAACTTTAGTGTGGGATTCGCGCTAAAGGTCACAACCACTATTCAATATTCTGTTTAATTTATTGCGGTATTAATATGAACCGTGATGAGCGAGTTTTATTCATATCTTTTTATTTTAGAATAGAGAAATAAAATTCGATTTTGTCGATAAATAATTTAGTAACTATACTTCAATAGTTAAACACAACAACTGTATCAATAGAAATATGAATCTATTTTGTGGGTTTATTGATTGCATAATTTCTAACGATTTTTTTAATATATATGCGGTATATTTTAAGAATATTGTTTATAATTAAAAATCCCGCTTTTTGTTGATCCTCGAGCGCTGGCAATTGAAACTTGGTAGAAACTAATTAGGGGGATTCCAGGAACCGTTACTTTTTCATCGAACCTCAGAATATATAATTAATGTCGATCGCAGTTAAGATAGTTTTTACCGTCCTGGCTTAAGAACTTTTATACTTTATGGACACCGGTCCGAGTATCATTAGTTTCTAAACAGTTTCCGTTTCTGGAAAATTATAAAATACTTCGTTTCAACTGAGATTAGATAATGAAATAACTTTATCGTATTAAAACTTGGTCATTCTCAGAGTCAAACTGTCTGCAACAGGACTACGTCTAGCTAAATGAAAGCATTTTTTAATAAAATGGCTATGCTACTGAGAGTGCTATTTTTTGTGTGGGTCGGTTAATTATTAATATTATAGATACAAAAAAATGTCCATTAGTTTGTTCTTGAGGGTGTCGATGCTGTACGATATTATTATCTTGTAAAGTTACGCCTCTTTATCGTACTACGCAGCGAAAAAATTAAACACACATTACACGTTGCAGTATTATTTTTATTATTTTCAACTAGCTGTGGTATAAATATTTGGGAGAATAAAGAACGTACGTTGTATTCACAATGGCCGTCGTTTTGTCGTCGGCGGCGGGCGGCGGGCGGCGGGCGGCGAGCAGCCGCGGCGCGCGCGTACATCGTGGATGTCATTTTAATGTTTTGTGAAAATCATGGTTTAAGAAATTTTCAAATACATGTTTCGAATGATAAAGTTATTTATTCATTTATTATGTAATTTACCTATTTCATAGAGTTATGTCGCTAAATATTACTTAGTAATTATTATAAGAAGGCTCGGGACACACTGTTGGGAGGGGCGATGAATAAGACAAGATAATATTAAGGTCTGTCATGAACTTAACTTTAAATATAATATATTTAAAAACAAACAATTGTTATAAAATACAAGTATTAGGTTGTACTATTTTTATTGCACAAATAAATTTTTAACGTTATTAAAGATTTAGATTAGATTAGAAGATTAAATAATTAACGTAAGTTAATTGTGTGGAAAATTGAAGCAGTACTTATCATTCAAAAACGGACATTTTAAAAAGTAATAGATGGATCAAAAGAAATAATTGTCTTCTCAAAACTCGTTACCAGCTCTCGCTATATAATATTTGGTGTGTAGGTCTTTCTATCCGCTTTTTGTATCCTACAGTACTTACTAGATACAGATTATGTCAGCACAAGCCAAGCGATTTTTAAGATTTGTTTACGAAAAAATCGACATTTTATTTTTATAATAAATGCGAAAATATTTTTAAATCTTTATTGAAGTCCATATTGTTATAGATATTAAATAAACACACGCGGAGCGCGTAAGTGTGACGCGGAAGTTTAATATTAAACTTTAAGCATGAATTGTATTATGTACTTTTCCAAATGTTATTATTGCTATCGGCATCCGGCACCTCTCGAATAGTCACAGCACAGATTAGTTATTTCTTAAAACAAATGTGAGTCGTTAGTCGTTTAATGATGATAAACTCATTTAAATGTAATCTATCTACGAACGCTTTCAAGATGAGATCAATTCATCGGATTATATATTTATAAAAGTATTTATTTGCGACGCTTATTTATTTATTTATTTTATTTACAAATACTTCATCTATATTATTATTCAAATATTAAAAAAATATGTTATTATTCTATTTTATCTTTTAGTATTAATAAGGGAAAAAGTTTAATAACGTTAGTGATATGATGATGCTATATTATATATTGCTTTTATATATCGATTATATCCCTTGACATCTCACAACAGAAAAGTCCATCTTCATCTGGTATAGAAGGTTTAAGGTACCTTTATTTGTCAAGATGACGTGAAACGATACGTGTGCGCTTACTGAGTACATTGGCTGTATATACATATGTTTGAACGTTTCGTAGGCATTACGTGCAAACACAGAATGTACACAATCAGCGAGATTGCATGTCCGATTGTTCTATTTCGTGTATCGATACCTGTGCGTTCACCACCGTATTTAAGTTTTGAGGACCAGTGTTCTCACTTTGTGGACCTTTCTAAAGCTATAGGTATGGTTTCTGGTTTTTGCCGCTCTTGTTACCTTAATTTTAAGTTATTTGTCTTTCTTTTTTTTGCAATTCCTTAAAGTATGATTACTATTTTCATAATGAATTAATCTGTAATGGTTATTTCGAACCTTTATCGTGCAAGAAGTGACTACATGATTAACAACACATGACATAATTTTAAAATCCGAAATCTAGGAATCCGATGTGTAAATGAAACACTTTAGTTTATGTCTTAAACGTGGAATGAAAAGTTTTAAAATAAAAATCTATATTTTTCATTACAAAAGTGTACGTTATTTTATAAAAACCATGGACAATGTAGGCGATTTCAAAAATTACACTGGAGTTATACGCCCATTGCCTCGCATCGCCAAATATGGGCCGCGTGTTGTTTGCGTGTAGAGCTTTTAATCTGAATACTACAAACAGCTGGCTTGTTTTTATTATCCGGAAAATGTGCGATATTCAGAAGGCATCTAGTTATATTTATTGTTTGCTTTAAAAGTTTTCAAATAAATGAAATACATATATATGTAAATATTTCTCTGTTAGATTAATATAACGTTTAATGGATTAATGCTTTTTACACACTCATGTCATAAAAATGTAAAATATATTATTTACTTTGGATTTTCTTACTTTATCTAGATAGAATAAAACAAATTTGCTTAGTTCTAGCAAATTTTAGTAAGCTTAACTTTTTTTCTTTTATACATTTAATTTTAACGCACATTTTAGATAAAAACTTTTAAAAAATAAATAAAAACCGAGTTCCAGGCTCTAAAATGTAAAAAATAACTAAACGGGGTTTTCATTTAAAATGGATACCTAATCAGACATTTTTGAAGTGTGTTCTTGTAAGATGATGTTGTGACTAGTAAATTCTTAATTGTTACTGAAACTATTTGATTGAGCTGCGACACGAAGTGCACTCGGACGCCCTCGTAGTGCACACAGGGTGTGCCTACACAGTGTAGTATGGAGTGATTGTGTGGATGTTCGAGTGTGGGGTTTTGATTTTGGAGTAAAGGAAACAAATAAAACGAATCTCGGCTTCGAATAAACTTTTATTGGACAAACGTTAACATCGAACGAAGCCCTCAATGTACATCAACTTTACTAAAATAAAGTAATCCATACGTTATAGTTATGATATAATTAATTCAACTAGCTATTAAATACATACAAAGTTACACCGGCCCGAGTCCTCGCCTTAAACCTATGTATACAGAACGTAAAAATAAACCTATGAAATAGCTGTGGGGTACTTTCTTCAGAACTTGCAAATCGCACACTGAGAGGTGCTCCTTCTAAACTCTCAGCGAGTTGAACACTTCGCTTTCTTTGGCAAGTTGTAGGAAGTACGCCAGAGACTTAATAGTATTATATGTTTACTCTAGAAGGTGACTGTAAGAGCTACATTTGTACGCAATTTGAAACTGAATGTTTATTAGACGATAACAAATCATTAGGAACTGACACCGCCGCGGCGCGGCGCCCTCCCCACCGGCGCGGCGGTGGGGGGAGCTCCGATCTACTACTTTCGAACAAACAAGAAGAATTAATTTAATACATGAATAGCGTATTTGGATATGACTTGACTAGAATATCGTGTTTACAGTCGACAGAAATCTAGGCCTCGTCCCCGTTTGCTCCGTCTGTAAAAAATATTATTTTGTATTAAATAACACTTTAAAATAAATTTATAATAAAAGTAAGAGACTGCTTAAATACAATCTAATTCAATTACAATTAAATACATTTTTTTTGTCAGTAATATGCAATGCCAGATGATAGCGGGCACATGATCCCTGCTTTCACATAAGATATGGTGTCCCCATCGCCGCTTGTAGTGTATGTATGTGAGCTAGGAAGTCCCCGCGGAGGCGACAAATTACCCTCTCGTAAACGATTAACATTGCAACGAGTAGACGTCGCGTCGCCGCTGTAAATAGGTAAGTCAGTGATTCGTGCTGTTTTTGTGTGTAATTCTGTGTAAGGGTTGAATTTTTAAATGAATTTGCCTTAACTTACGAGCAAGAAATGAAATTGTACGTACTTATTGGAAAGAAAACCTATTAATTAACATGAGAGATATACTTAAAAAAATAACGATTTCATTTTGTTTTATCCTTTATAAGTATTTATAGTTTTTATTAAGCTTATTGAAATTCAAATATATAATATATATACTAATGTACATAACGGCGTATGTATAACATTCTGACGTAGTAGAGTAACAGAGAAGCTTTGTTTTATTGGGAAGATTAAAATAACTAAAAAATTTTGGATTTCATTAACACTTTGATTAAGAAATATAATTAAAATTAAATATATAAAATATCGATATCTGTTATCATGTAAATCCGCATTACACTTCTCAAAAGCTACTAGTCTATTTAGAAAATTGTTTTGAAGCCAGCTAAGAATAAATCAGACTTTCTTAAGCTGCTTTTCGTATGAATGATTTCAAAGGCGGCAACACTAAGGGATTTTAATTACTCGTGGGGATGAGCGGTGTGGCGGGGCCTGGGGTCGGGAGCGGTGCGGAGTGCAACACGTGACTTACTCGGAGACCAGCTGTTTGACAATTACTTAATATCCCAAAGTCCTGACCTCAAATTTTTGTAACATATTAACCAATTATCGTAAATAAAAAATCAAAATAAAGGTGGTTTTTTATTTTAACGAGATAAGTTAGATGAAAGTCTGTCCGTAGCATCGCTGTTTTCATACGAATGAAACGATATAGATACGTTTTTATTTATTTATAAAAGCTTTTTTTTTTACTTGAAAAGTATTTTAATCTAACTTCAGGATCTTCCGTGTTTCCCAGTTTCGTCCCGTTTTTCAGAAATTTTGCACATAGTTCTTTTACTGGAGTACGAAGTATCTATTCAGTAGGAGGTTATGTATAAATAAACATATACATAAAGTTATATAATGTAAAATATAAAATCGTGTATAAATTATTTAAAATGGTATTAGTTTTTGTTCTAGAGTTACTTATTGCCGCCATTTATAATTACGGTGGTATTAATTACATAATATGAAATTTATGTTTATTGAAATATATTCGTATAATGAGCGTATTTACTAATTGTTTAGCTTAATAGTCTATTTATAAGGGTAATTACACACAGGATAGCTCTAATTAAAATATTATGTAAATAAGTAATTGTTACAAATGTTCCGAAAGCCCGGCGTGGACGCGAGCGCGCGTGTGTGCGCTGCGGACGAACAATTATCTTTTATCGTGTTAATGAACACTCTGGAGCCGAGGACGTGTTTTTCTAGGGAATTTATTAGACCTTTTCAAATTACGTTATAATGAGATTACATTTAACACATTAGCGTCACATTTGTAATTTTCAGTAAACTTCTAAAAAGGGTGCAGACTTCAGGTGCTTTGATGAAGGTTGGCGGAAACTGTGACGAGAGGACGAGGGGACGAGCGTGAACGCGGAAATGATGGACTTTTGAGTGTTTGGCTTTTAACCTCTAACTAGCATTAGGGCGATGTCCTGTTAGTTACATGAAATTTAAATAGGTGTCAATAATTTTCCCTAAACAATGTTATTTTAACTTAAACGTAATTCATAACCAAAGAACTATCTAATTGTTTAAAAAAGATTGTTTTATATAAAAATTCTTCAAGTCTGGCTACGTTGCACATCTGCATGTTAATTAATATTCGTAACTAGCGACTCACTATCGCTTCGCTCGGGTTCATCCCTGGGTAGGTGTGAACGCTTTAACGTTTAGTGTGGAATGGATAGACTATAATATGCTATACGATATCCAAACTAATATTATAAATGTGAAAGTGTGTTTGTTAGTCTTTCTTTCACGTCGAAACGGAGAGACGTATTAGCGTGATTTTTGGTGTGAAGATAGTTGAGAGGTGGATAGTGTGGTAGCTAGATAGTGGAAGTGACATAGGCTACTTTTTATCGCGGGATATCATCTCATTCCCACGGGAAAACACGTTATAATACAATAAAAAAATACATAATTACTAATGTTTTTCAATACAAATAAATAAATACGTGTTTTAGCATTTCCGGAATTCATCCTATAAGAGGGTTAATAGAGGATGAAGTTTGTGTGAAACCTAGGTACCTACCTTTTAGAGATATTTTTGTAATTTTAGCGCGAGCGAAGCCGCGGGTTTTGCTAGTATAATATATATCCTATAGCCTTTCGCAGTAAACGGCTATCTAATGCAAAAATATTTTTTCAAATCGGATTAGTAATTCCTGAGATTAGCGCTTTCAAATAGGCAAACAACTTCTGCCTTTATAATATTAGTATAGATGTAAAATGTTAAACCTATATAAGTATTTCCCTTAATCGAGTTTTATCGTAATTAAAATTTATTGCAATATCTCAATATTAGGTGTATCCCTCCTGAAGTGGACTAAGAATACTAAATTCTTAGCGGTATCACCTGCTTCTATATCTGTAACATGTCACTATAAATAATATCGTATTCCACTTTAATGTTCGTAAGTATAGTGATATTTCAGAATATTTTTTATCAAAATATATGTAAATATAGATATCGAAAGGGTGTCCTTTCAAAAAGTCTGAAGGCACAGGTGTCTGTTTTATTCACTTGAAGGAGCGAAGGGTCCGACTCTTCACCGAACGGTCAAATTTGCTCTTCAGAGACACACGATGTGTATTTTCTTCTTTTTACTACATTCACATGTTTTGATTTTTGTTTAATAATTGATAGATTTTTGGAAAGTAATTCGGGATTTTTTGCTTTAACACATTCATGAAGTGCTTTTGATTGTCCTCATGTTTGTTATTCCTTCACACTTAAAAGGCTGGACGGATATCGATGAAAATTAAAAAGTTGACTGTAAAGCTACGTAACTATATCAGGCACCGAGGGACGCAACCGAGCGAAATGAGGCTAAAACGCTAGTTATAAAATAAATTGATTCCAACCAAAAAATCTAAAAAAATACAATAAATAAGTTAATTTAATTAAAAAAAATAAAATAATGGTAGGTCCCAGTGAGCACTCTCCCTTAGGGTCGTATTAGGCGCGTGGCGTCGGGTGTACCTACACGCTGCACAATCCACGCTCGTGTATATGTTCCTTCAGCTCGACGCTGCTCCGCTTGGCTGACTGCGTTTGGGATAATCGTATTTTCCCTTAGCTCATTCGAACCGGATATTTAATAGATATCAAAAAATAAGACATTTCAGGTCTTCCTTAAGAGCATTATTATTTATTTCTTGGAAATAAATTTGGATTTGTTATTGAATATTTAATCATTATTTGTTACCTTTATGTTAAACATGAAACTCACGTGTAAATCTTCGTTAGAGATGTCCACTGTTCATTATTGTAAATATTAATTAAAATATTAAAAAGAAAGTAATATAAATACACTTTACTGTACTATAATTTATTTAGTAGGAAATGAAATCATAAAAGAAATAAAATATCTGAGATTGTGTAAAAGTGCTTACGTGCTGTTATGTGACTTTGTGAAACTACAGCGGAGATACATTAAGCTTTAGTGGAAGGCGCTAAGTAGAGACTAGTATTCTGGGGGAGACTTACAATTTTCACACTTAAATTATTTACATTGACATACTTCTAAAAACAAACACATAAGGGTAGACGATAAGGGTGTATTATCTAAACATTAAACGTTGAGCTACTACAACTGTAGGGAAGGTTCTACAAGACAACATCAATGAATAGCGTTTGACGCTTGCTTGGGATCAATCTACATTATGTGTGTACGAGAAGAGACGTGGGAGAAGAAGATAGAGACTAAAACATCAATTCTACGAAGAGATAGAGACAGGTGCTACGCAGGTTGCTGAAGCGATCGGTTACCGTGCTCTTCGTCTAGGGGCAGGTCAGGCGAGGCTCGCTTGCCCCACATGCCCCTGAGATTGGTCCAGCCAGGCTCTCTCTTCCAGTAATACGATCCTGTTGGGTACGCTCGCATGTTATTCTCTAAAACTTGCTTAATTGTGATTTTTTTATGATAAATATAAAAATATTTTTATGAAAGTAAACAGTAGTGTTAAAACTTCAAGATATAATCCTTTGTATGATAATTAAGTTATTGTGCTTGCTATAACTTGCTACAAGATCACTTTCTACGTTAATTTAAAAATAAACATATCTAATGAAAAGCTTTCAGTTATCCGTAGAAATATTTGATACTAAAAACATGCTTTATTTTTATTTAACGTCAATTTTTTTATAAGTTAATTAACCGCGAGGTGTTCATAATTAAAAATAGACTTAATAATAGAATATTCGACTTAGACTTCTTGTGATCGACTTCTAACTAAAATATTTTTTTTTAGATCCACATAATGCGTGACCCCGAATTGGTTTTCAGAAATCACCTATCTCAGTAAAATATAATTTTAATTAAATATTTTTCAGAATATTATTTCACTATTTTCAGACTTATATAAAACTTATTACATAAAGTGAACGAGTATCGGGTACGCGGGAACTGCTAATCTAATCAATCTTCTTCATCAAAACCCCGCACATAATTAAGTTCAGACATTCTTTCCTCACTTAATATTTAATATAAATTTAATTTTGTAATATAAATCTGGAGGATAGATATAATTTAATTATATTGACTTTCTGGTATATTTGCGTATTACAACACTACAGTCCCGGTTTATTCCTGAGGGAATCCTAAGCTGAGATAATTAAACAAGATATTTTTGCTTCGTAAATCTCGGCGTTTCTTCTTCGTAGCTTTATTTATGAGTCCACTCGAGCTGTAGTTTTTAATATCGAGATATGAAAATTAAAACCCAGTGTCGTTTCCGCGAAAACCCAACGCCGGAGTGCTTGTTAAGTTAATAGCTTCTAGGAATGCTTAAGCTAGCTAGGAAAAGTAATTAATGACTTTAATTACGTGCATATGTATATGCTCCGTATTAATAAATTAACTTTTATTTTTGAGATTTTAAATATTTTCTATACTGCTTAAAAAAATCAAACCGGTATCTATAAATGATTCTAGTCTTCTAGATTGTAGATCTTTATTCTTAAATTAAAGTAGTCGTAGACATTGTTGAAATTAAAATACAATGTATGTATTATGCTTATTAAAATAATGTGTCCCCGTAACAGCCAATATTCAATAATTTCATCCAAGCAATACAAGTATGTTAGTGATATTACGTGTGAAGCTGTCCCTCGCTAAGAGGCAAGAGCCAAGTGCCAGCGGACGTTAATGATTGAAATAAAGCCAGTAGTAGAACCTTGATTGGGTTTTCGACCGCAATACTATATTGTGGATCATTTCGACGGTGCACAGTCTGCTGGAGTTATAGCCTCATCTCATTGTACGGACAGACGCCGTGAACATTTATTGCCATTTTATATTTTTAAAGGTAGTTTTAAATTTAGTGACGTATCTTCAATGTATTTTACAACTTTTAAAATATTGTAGTGTTTTCAAAATAAGTTGTCACATTTTAGAATTAAAATTAGAAATATTATTAATAACAACACTAAACGATAGTGATACTACCTAGGGAGAGATTTTCCTATTCGTTTTACGTTTGCATCTAAGCCAACATATCTTGAATATAGGTTCTCCCGCGCACGTACGCTGTATCACTAAAGTCTCGCAAGTAGATGATTAGGATTTACCATATCATCATATATAATATGTGGATGCTCGAGTATAGATGAAGACAAATAAAATATCTTTAATTATCATATATTGGACTCTTCACTGTCCGCTAGTAGTACTGTAGTCACAACTAGTGACTGCGAACGTGCTAAAAGTATTTTTTCTTTTTTCTTTCGATGTTCTTTTATTGATTTTGAGTTGATGTCGTTATCCAGGAGAAGTTCAAAGCTTTTAAACAATATTTTCCAATGGCATTAAAACCATATGGAGTTAAAAGCATTTTATATGTTATCCACATATCGAGGCTTCATACTTATTTACAGTATACATTTAATGTATACATTTCTTCGCCATATGAAATTCCATGCAATAGTTTACGGGTGATTGAACCAAATCCTAACAGCAAACAGTTATGAATTTTTAATTTTCATTTTTCGTTTAATTTCCTCAGACAAGTTTCTCCATATAACAATTAATATTGTAAGTAAAAAAAGTATTTTTATTTTTACTAGCAAGTAAGATATATAATTTTAAAATAAAATGATTTTATTTATCTGGACTCCTTCACTGGACACTACTCTAGTGGGTACACACGTGGAGCATTCCGTCCTTTTCAACTACAACTTACGTTTATTAAAAAATAACTAAATCGAAAAGTTTTATTTTAATATTATTGCAGTTTTATAAATCTCTCCTCTATAATGTAACGTTTTAACCTTGATTTATTTATTACGATTGGTTTTAACAGCAAAGAAATAGAAACATATTGAAGAAATATATTTGTTAATAAATTCTCAATTTTTCCATTACTGTTTAATGACGGTCCGCTGTTTCGACAGAGACTAAATTTTATTTCTATCATAAAGTGTACACCTATTCATAAATCTTTAGCGAACACTTCTTTGAGTACTGTATTTTCTGACGTTTTGCTCGAAAATAATAAACTATTTTTCGTTCAGAAATCTTTTAAATTATTTAGAGTTATATTAATATTAATTTCAGAGCTTTAAATTAATGCCTTCTTTATTTCTCCTTCAACTAAAACAACATACTTGTATGATATTATAATTAAATATTCAAGTTTAACATTTGTCAAGGATAAGCTTCAAGTGAAGCAGTCGGACCACGATAGTAGAAACTGCAATATAACTTGTTTGCCGTGAGATGACGCGCGCCCGCGACGCACCGCGCCGCACTCACCTACGAGCTCTTTTGGATGGAGAGCCACTTATAAGCGTATAATGAAAAAAGTAATATACAATGACATAGAGTCGCTCTCGTTATAACTCGACTGCGCTATCGCACTGCGTTTTGCACAAATGAGCTCTGTTGAGTATTAATAAATCTTGAATTCGCTCATTTTATTAATATTGGCAGTCGTTTTACGAGTGCTTTAAAGTTTACCGCTTTATTGATACTCGGCTTCGGTGATTATAATAAATACTTATAGCTTTACAGCAAACTAATGTATGACTTTGAAGCTACTTAAATATTATAATAATATTCATCTAATATATAGAACTAGCATTGCCCGCGGCTCCGCCCGCGTTCAGATGACCAAAAACTAAATTCTTAGGTGTTACATATTAGTATACTCTTACATTGCAGTTTTTGTATTTTTCCTCAGAAATAAGATATTTTCCCGCGGTAAAAAGTATCCTAGGATCGCGCGCTACATCGCCCGGTTTATATAGCTTGAGCAGGCGGTCGAGCGATGCGGGGCAGAGGGGATGGACTCGCCGTAGGCATCTCAATGCTCGCCAAGCATTAAAAATGTTTCGCTACTAATTACTTCTAACAACGATATCTCAAAAACTATTCATCTGATTGATTTAGTGTAAAGAGCAATTTTAATCTGCATTAAATGACTAAGCTAACTAAAATATTCATTTGGATAAGGATTAATACCGAACTAAAGAAAATAACTTTGAAAATAACGTAATGTTTTTAATTAAAAATGTTAACATAAAAGTGGTTATTGTAAGTCAACCGTAAGAGATAGAGATATGCTATCGCGGACTTTTTTGTAGCATTTTTATAGATTTTGAATTCTCTAGTACATTACTTAACTGTATCTTTGCTAGTTTACGCGGCGTTCGCGTGGAAAGTTCCCATTTGGCGAGATTTTTTGCGACCTCTTCAACATTTGTCGCCGTATTTCAGCTAATTTACATAAAAGCATAATAAATTATATACCTAAACCTTCCTCAAGAATTACTCTTTCTATTGTTGAAAACCGTATAAAAATCCGTTCAGTAGTTTTCGAGTTTATCGCGTACAGACAGACAGGAGGACAGAAAGACGCGGCCGGGGGACTTATTTTTATAATAAGTATAGATAAGTCTGTCGTTTCCGCATGCTTGCTTTAGATCCGACGTGACTTAGACAAAATCCAGTGCTTGCGATCCATATACCATCCAATCCTTACCATCCAATACCTTTATTCAGAAACGGTAACTAAAAGAACCTTATAGGACTAACGAAAAACATAAATGTTTATAATATTATTATATAACATTTTAGTAGAATGTACAGATTGGCAATTTACTTCTTATAAAATTGTCCTCAATTTAGATGATTCAGATATCTACTACTAGTTATGAATACGTAAATAAAGAAGAAGTAACTTCTTCATCTTCTATCGCCTTTTTTTTATTTTGATAAATTAATAATTATGGAAAAGAAACAGATAGAATATGATGGCTCTTGGTATTATCCGTCGTTGGCAAAGTGCAGGAATGGATAATAGCTAAGCGGAAGCAACAGATACTCTACCGCTGTTGTACTGCGCCTGCTTGACGGGCCGCTTGCCCCACGCGCCGTGCAGCGCCGACCACGCTTTCTTTTCCGGAACATCCATGTTTAAGTTTTCGGCTTCCATCTGTAATCATTCAGTGAATGTAATATCCGTCATTTAATGTTTATGCCATCGTGACGTTAGTATTTATATAACTGCAACGTAGCTTGTGGATTCAGGAGTGGTATTTCGTTTCAGCCTAGCTTAGACCAAAATGCATTCTTTAAGCGAAAACGATTAAATTAATGAAAATAGTACTAAAGTACTATCAAACGAAAATCTTTTTTGTTTATGTAATTATAAACAAGCTACGAAGGATTTCAAGGAATAAATGCTTCAAAAACAAAGTGTTATTCGAATTTGAAACTATTCGCCCGCGAGCGCAACATGTCAAAGTGATTGTATAACCTGCTGTCTCAACATTTTATCCAATTGATTCAATATATTTTTTATATAAATTGCAATATAATAAAATTAAATGCATTTATTATTACTTAAAAAACCTTAAAATCTTCAAGGGAAACTATCAGAACTATAAATGTCATATTTATGAATCATAATAAAATAATGAATTCTATTTATCATTTCCAGTACTGATATTGCGAACGTCAAACAAAAGTAAAAGTGTTGGTTTATCGGGAAAGAGCATAAATTTGCAAAGCTATTAATTTCCGCAAGAATTATAGTCTGATCAAAGCCAATATGTCTTCCGCAATATTTCAAGATTGGAATTTTTATGGTGGAGTCGGGGAGACTGCAAAGCTTCACAGCAAATGGAACGAGATAAGGCATAATATGCCAAATAGCAGATGACAGATTCGATTAGTTAACCTGTCAGCTATTTCTTTCATGTCGGCTTTTTGTTACAGTTAATTTTAAATAAATTGAAGGACTAAATTTTGATATAATTAGATTCACAATTTATTGGCGGTAAGACAATTTCAACAAGAGTTACCTTGTTCTTATTAAATTAACCCTTACCTATATTGTTAGCTCACTTTTATATAGTAGTCATGAAGATATGAAAAATATCCAGCAAACACGAGTTAGTATTAATTATTATTACCTGTTGAACGGGAATAAGATGATCGTAAGCAAATTCATAGTCTTCGTAGTCTGGTTCAGGTCCCGATCGCTTGCCCCAAGATCCATGGAAATTAGCCCACTTTTCCTATTAAAATTATAAAAAAAATTGTATTCTTTTCATGACTTGATAATGTGTCTTCAAGTACTTATTATATTTTACTTGTCCAAGAATAATTAAATTAAAGAATAATAATGCTTATAACAAACGTACGGGTGCTCGTTTACCCCACGCCGAGCTCATGTCTTGCCAGCCTCGCTTGCCCCAAGCGGAGCTCATGTCCTGCCAACCACGCTTGCCCCAAGCGGAGCTCATGTCCTGCCAGCCTCGCTTTCCCCATGGAGTCTGGTATAGGTCCCTCCACGCACGCTTGCCCCACGCGGTGTTCAAATCTTGCCAGCCCCTCTTGCCCCAAGCAGAATTCAAATCTTGCCAGCCTCGTTTGCCCCAAGCAGAGTTTAGATCTTGCCAGCCCCGTTTACCCCAAGCAGAATTCAGATCCTGCCAACCCCGCTTTCCCCACGCCGAGCTCATGTCCTGCCATCCCCGTTTTCCCCAACCACCGCCGCCGTGAAGACTGGACCACGCTCGTTTTTCTTCTTCTGTTAACTCAATGTCAGTGTCCGCCTGCAGACAGGAAATACTTTTGTAAGGTTGCATTTTTATATATTGTTTTAATAGAAAATAATAATATATTGGATTAATTTGTAATGACTTACGCATATGGCATTTAGTTATGTGACCTTGGCCGATAGGAATGTGTTTAAAAAAAAGGGCGCGGATATTTATTTGTTTTCCCGCGCTTTTGCACAGAATTGTTGATACCACCCTGTGACTAGCCACGAATTGTTTGTAATACCAAAAATTATGGTTATAAATTATGTATTTTATTTATTGTATTGGGTGTGGTGCCAAGGTCGGCCCTAGCTACGTCGACCAGTTATGGTCTATTGTAGCTCAATATAAATTATGTAACTATACAATTACGTACTCAAACTGTAAGATTATAAAAGTACTGAATATAAGAATATAAGCAAGGAATATCTCGAAGTTTTATTAGGGATCCTACACTTTTATAGAAAGAACAACAAATGTAATTAAAGCTATTGACTGTATTGTCAAAACACCTACTCTTGTACTCTATTACATGAATAAACAAAAATAAATGTAATTTAAAACATTTTAAAAGTTTGAGTGCTAACATTAGTGGACACTTAAACAACTATTTCTGCTGCGATGCGCATTTCAAAAGCAGTCAGTAATTGAGCCTCTCGTTATTTATGTACAAGGGCATTAAGCCACTGATTCGATATTCGTTAAGACAAAAGCGTTCCTCTTGTAATGGCGCGGATTATTTCATTGTTTCCATTAGATTAAGTCCCAGGATTTTGAGCTTTGTTTACAATAAGGAAAAATCGGTTTTATTACTTACACAACGCTGAGTTGCAAAAGTTTTGAAGTTGGACAGGAATGTTAATTGTGTTGTGGTTCGTACTGTGCAGGCGCGTTACGGGTGCTCTACGGACGCCCTACAAATGTTCTACAGCAAACGCCCTGAGAGGGTATTTTTCACCCATTGATGTATGTATTTTATTGATAAATTATTTAGTCAAAAATCACCATCTTTTTTATTGATGTTTTACTCTTTACAAAAATTCTATATTAAATTGCTTAAAAATCATTACGTATAATCTATACATACATATAATAAAATTGTAACTATGTCGAATCTGTACATTAAATATTTTTTGGAAAATCTAATTGAAATAGACATTATTATCGATAGTATCAGAGTCAGAATCTATAGTTTTTAGAATTTTTGTTTGTCTGTATGTCTGTCTGTATGTCTGTCTGTCTGTCTGTCTGTCTGTCTGTCTGTCTGTCTGTTACCGCATCACGAAAAAACCACTAGACAGATTTTGATGAAATTTGGTATGATGATTACCGCGGGAAAATATCTTATTTCTGAGAAAAAATACAAAAACTGCACTGTAAGAGTATACTAATATGTAAAACCTAAGAATTTGGTTTTTTGTCATCTGAACGCGGGCGGAGCCGCGGGCAATGGTAGTTCATCTATATAAATAAAAATTAATCGGCAAAATGTATATACACGCAAAACTTCCGATTGACTGCACCAAATTGGATAATTCTTTTTTTTGTGTTAGATATTGTCAGGACAAGTTTTGTATAGAAGAAAATTAAAAGAAACATTTTTTTACAAAAATAAGATTTCTTTTAAATCTCATGATATGAAAAGTGAGTGAGTGAAATAGTTTTTATTACGGAAATCATCCCTTAAGAGGGTGAGAATGGGATGAAAGTTTGCATGGGAAATCAACCTAGGGACGAACCCGAGCGAAGCGAGGGTGAGTCGCTAGTTTTAGATTAAAATTTCCAAGCATTATTTCTAAATTAACCACAATAACAAAAACGCAAACATCAGTGGTCAAAGGTAGACGTTAGTTGTTTAACTTTTATACCATTTGTACACATTTTTACAGTTTCTTCTGCTTTGAGAAGAACAATGCGTTTCTCTCGAGTTATTTAACTGAGAAGAACAAAGCAATCTCAGTAATAAGTACTAGAAGTATTTAGATTGAAACTTTATTAAAGTAAACGTGTACTCGTATAGCTGCCGTAAGGCTGCTTCCACATTATACCTTAGAAAAACTCCATGGATTTAAATTATTTAAATCGAATTTATTGTTCAAAGTTTTGCTCATAAGATTGTCTGTATGTATATACTCGTAACTGGTTAAAAAGAACTTCATCATTAAAAAAAAAATAATATATATGAGTTTAAGCTGCAATAGCAGATGGCCTTTGTCAGTACTCAGTAGTGCATAAAAATACTTAAATTTAAATATACAAATGCAATTAAGGATCTTTTGAATTTCTTTCGCTCGAGCCCTATGTTTGTTATGCAAATTATAAGGTATGAATTATAGAGTTTCGTTGCGAAGGAAATGTAAAGAGATTTAAAATTAGAAAGCTTTTTATCCGGGCATAATGAGACCGCTTATATTTAACAAACACACATCACGCGCCGCGCCGCTTAATTTGTTTAAGTAAATGATTATTTTAATATCATAATAAATAATTTTTCTTAATGGACACAGCGATGGTTTCACCGAGGACTATGGTGAGGGTGGGTTTCAGACTAAATACGATCTGTAAGGAAGTATGAGAAATGATATATTGTTTTTCATTTATATTATCCACCATGAAGGTGTTTTAAGTTTTATTAATACGAATTCTTAGTTAAAATTAGATACATTTTGAAAACTTTCCTGCCTCTAAATTTTTATTTGGGATTGCGATATTCATTTGAAAAGTAATCCTATATTTATTTATGTTGCAGTTAAGGCAAATAGAATAAAATTGCAAATTGATTAGAAAGTTTAAGAGGCATGATCAAATTGTGACCACAGACGATACTAGTGTTATATTATTGACAACTTAAGAACAACTAAATATGCGTTTGCCCACATCAGTGGGAAAACTATCAAGTTTCTAAAGCTTCGTAATCATCTTAGAATAGTTAACTAAGTACTAACTTCACCGCGGTCCGATTGTCCGAATATCAGAATTGCTCTGAATTTATAACTACTATCTGTGTTTTGTTTCTGGTTTTGATGGGAACCATATTTTGTGACGTTATGTCCTTTAGACTATATTGTATAGAAAGTGTACAATGTATGGAACATTGTCTGAGCCTCATAATCTATTCTATACAGATAAATAAAATCGAAGTGTCTGTTTGTAATGTCAAAATCACAGCGTTTTATTAAATGCATATGATATTATAGTATACGGTTCTTATATGAAAAACACATTTTTTTAATTTTTTGTCTGTGTGTCTGTCTGTCCGGAACAAACGTTCCAGATAATCTCTGAAACGGCTGGACTGATTTTGACGGGACTATCACTGGAAGATATCTGATGTTATAGGGAGTAACATAGGCTACTTTTATTTTAGAAAAAGACCTTTTATTTTAGAAAAAGACCTTAGGTCCTGCTCAAAAATATTAAAACGTACCTAGGGACGAACCCGAGCGAAGCGAGGTTCGAGTCGCTAGTGTATACTCGTAATATGGCTGTAGTAGCTCAAAAAATGTTTCTAAGCCTATCATGTACAAAGCATCAGATTACATAATAAAACCCAACGGTCGCATATATTGGGGCACTTGCTGTCTACATTGGATATGTTGATATTTCGCAAATACATAAAGTGAGGTTATATTTTTTGAACGTTTATTATTCTATTATTACTAACTAAAAATTATAGCGTGTTTCAAATATAGGTCATACAATCGGACCATCTGTAGTGTAGAAGCTAAGCGATGGCCGCCGCGAGCATTCATTAACATTTACAGCATGTTAACATAATATAAAAATCATATAACACTGTAATATCTTTTCACTTTCCCTAAAAGATTTGTCCTCATAGTGGTACACATGAACCTAGCAGCAACATGAAAACCTACAATTGTCGAATTGAATTTATTCGAATACAATGAACGATATCCTATTTAAGGTTTCAAAACACGTCGCCGGTGGCTGCGAGGTGTGCGAGGTGCGCGCGGCGCGAGGGCGAGGCGCATGAGGCGCCGGGGGTGGCGCAGACAGTGATTGTTTAACTAAAATGTGCCCTTTTGTTCCATTCTATGGCAAATCTCTACAATAGTATAATTAACTGCCGTCTGTCCGAGTAATTGCTTAGTTACGTACAGCTGTTTACAAGCTGTTTACAGGTCTGGAAGAAAAATAGCATCCCTGCTGACATTGGAAATGTTAAACTAACTCTGTTCCACGCGGCCACGGAGCAGTGTTAACGTGACTTGTGTGAAGAAGTGTGCCGTACATTTTTGAAAAACACACAATATATTAAAATATTATGTAGCATACGTAGGCACACATTAAATTAAAGTTTATAAATAATGTTTACGTATATATCATAAAACTTGAAAACAGCTATCGTTTAAAGAACATAAGCAATATCCACATTCCTAGCAAAATTTTCTTATCATATATTTCATAAAGGTATTCTTTATTACCTGTCAAACGACGTTATTAGAAATTTTAAGGGAAAAATTGTAAAGCGTGTGGTTTTTCGATGGAATTGGAATCGAAAGGCTTGTTTATTTAGGTCGAGGAGAGCAAATAAGTCTTCACATTAATGCCCACCACACGCTGAAATTGTCGAAGTTAATGGGTTTTTTTATTTATTTTTAAAATTTAGAACTATTTCACTAATTTTTCATATGATCTTCTCTCGTGTATTTGCTCATATTACATCCATTTTTACTTATAAAACCAAAAGTACTCGTGTGTATATGTGATATATATGGAGGAGGTCTAACGAGATTGTAACGGCGGATCTTCCTGCCCACATTATTTTGTTTCGAGGCATTTATTAAACAGAATATAATATGAATTAAAGTATGTATGTATGTAGGTAATTAGCCAAAACAATGATTAAAGAAAATGAGATAAGCAAAAAACGATGTGATTTCTAATCTGAAATACAAAAAGAAGCTTTACACCAATTTTCATAATTTAGAAAATAACCATACAAACTCGCATGCTCTATATAATCACTTAAGAGGAAGCACTTTTAACGTACCTACTATTCATCTTTGTTATATAAGGAACTTATTGATAAAACTTGATGCTTATAAAGATATGTCTGTGTGTACGTCTGTGTGATGAGTCAGTAAGTGAATTCGTATGACAATGAAATAGACGTGAGGCGTACCTGTGGCGGCGGCGCGTCTTGCGCCGCGTCCGCCGCCGCCGCCGCCGCCGCCGCCAGCGTCAGCGCCGCGCACATCACTGCTACACAACACCGCATCTGCAACAATGTCATAATCCTTTCATTGTTCATATCATTTCAAGAATTCAAATCTAAGAATAATTGGAAATTAAAAGAGCCGGTGGTAGCTTCCTCACGGACTGACTGGACTGAAGCTTACATTTAAATTGACAATTCAAAAACACTTGTAATAAGTCTTATTGAATAAAGTTTACTTCATTCATTCATTTCATTTCAATTTTTAATGGCTTTTACTGAGATTTTCTTGACAGAAAAACCCAATATAACCTGACAGAAAAACTTGGGCTGACCCCGGGACTCGCAGCTGTATATTTTAGCTTATAAGACCAGCGTTAGCCTCTAGAGAATTATTACTTAATAAGATGGTAAATGTTTTGAGTATTGATACCCAACATGCGTAGTATGTTCTACATTTTGAATGTGAAGAATACCTTGGAGTAAGAACTATCCGTATTCTCCGTCGACCTCATAATAAAGCTTGAAATTAATTAAAACAAATTAAATACACATATTATTTTACTTAAGCTTGTGTAAAGCTTATATTTGACATTCTAAAAGTAAAATGTATATGAAACGATACAGTCCCTACATCATTTAAAAAGTTAGTATAAGTATTTTTAACTTTTCACTTAACTGTAATAACTCTTCATATTACTTTATTACATGTTTTAAGCTTTATACTTTTTGAAATGGATGAAAAAATATTTCCATTCATAAATTATATAACAATAATACTTATATATATGTATCCACATCACTTACGTACGTAAGTGTACGTAAGCTGCCTATTATAGTAGAGCGTTTATATAAATACGGATTTTCAAATGTCAGAACTGTGGGGGCGCAGGATGAGCTATCTTAGGTTTCTTCACACGTGTTTATTTACGCGTTCTTGTTCTTTGTTCGTGTTATCTAACTTCGGTAACATTTGAATTGAAATTTGACTTGCTGTGAAATATACCTTTTTGTTCATGAAAGCTACTTAAAGTTTACTGTAAATAAAACGTGCTGAATAAAATAAAGACCTGCTTTAATTACAAATTAACTTATTGATCATTAAAGTTAAATATTATTTTACCAAATATTTTATTAAATACAAGAAAATAATCTAAATTACTACTTAGATGATATTATATATTTTATATATTGGTTGCAGAGCGAAGCACGTGTCTACGTCTGAGTACTTTCAATCTATTGGTTTTAGAGACTCTTAACAGTATTAACATCAAATAGATCTGTTTATCGAGAAAAAGATTTAAACTTATAGCCTAGATTCTATTTTTATTGCTCATGGAATCCCATAAAATTTTATGGACTGGGAGACTAGTAGAGGATTAGAGGTTACTGGCTGTCTTATTACGGTCATTTTAAAAATTAAACTTCCGTTAGCAAATTAATTTTGCCTTTACGTTAGTTAATATATAATGTTAAAGATAAACATTATATTAATTGCAACTTTCGAACTGTCGCTGAGCTGGCTCAAACATGGTATAACAAACACAAGTAAGAGAAGCACAGAACAACTAAAGTACGAAAGAAGTTAACATATTGGTTTTGAAAAGAATTTCTTAAAATAAAATAATAAACAGGTATTGTATAGCATAAATCAAAACAAAAACTTTAGAAAAGCTTTCAGACATAAAAAAGTTATCAGCAATTTCGGCGATGAAGTGACGTACGTGTAGGTTATTATGATGAACACAAAACACCGTCTGTTTGTGATAGAAGTGTCACCAGCGTCGTATTTGTATCTACAATAAAATATATTAACTGCACTATTGTTAGCCCGCATTATAAGTATTACTTACTTCCATAGATTGATGGGATGGATTGTTCTTGTTACTGATTTTTAAATAAATAATGTATTTAACAATAAATACATATTTAGAATGAAGAATGTACGTAAATGGCTTGGTGTTTGATATTATTGCTACTCCTCCAAGCGGCTGCGTACAAAGTATAAGGTCGCGTGACGCAAGAGAGGAACAGGTCAGGCATCTTTAGCTCCCAGTCTATACATAGATGACCCGGCCTGGACGTGAGCAGGTGAGCATATCACTCTTACTACTGCCTGAGATTAGTTATTTAACCTATTTAAGAAATATAGGAGGTTCGTCACATCTGCAAAAACTACAGTGCCAAATGCACTGTAGTCTCAATGAAATATCTCCTTCAATTATGAAATGGTTTTTTATCACTTTTTTTAATCTATTGAAATAAAATTTTTTTCAACCCTAAGTGTCAAATTATGGGTAGATATTTCATGTTAAATTTAAATAGGCATGGGATTTCAATATCGATTTTTAATTATTTGCAGACTATTTTATATTAAACCAGGTTTTTGCAAATGTGTTAACTGAAGCGCAATATTGAAGCAACGAACTAATGACTTCCTTATTTAACTTACCACGAGTCGTAGGTAAGGTACCTACTTATGATTAAAGGCCGAAGGTATTCGAAAAGATTCATTAGAATACAAAGTTTTAATTAGTTTCCTGGAAAATCGCTAAAACACATGAATATTTACTGACAGAGGAATCGATACTTGTCGATGAACCTCTTTGATGTATAGTGTATACTGTATACGTACTTACACACGTAACTACGTGTAACGTACGAGAGTCCAATTTTTTACGTATAACGTACGACCACACGGTCGTTTTATAATTGTTACTACTTGATATTAACTCGTGCTGGATCGATTTGACACATTTTTTTTTAAGACGTAGTAATAGTTCGAATAAAATATTAACTGTAACTATTTAGATACAAATATAGAGAACAGGATATTTTTGTTGATATCTTCTAAAGCTATGTAACGAGTACATTACTTTTGTAACATAGATATATATATTATTAAGAATTTTAGACATAGACTTTCACCAGACAATAAAATACACCCATTTAATTTAAATATAAAGTTACTAGTATAGAAAAGCATAGTGGAACAAAATGCACCTTTAGATTCTATAAAGAAGAAAAAGTCCTTAAAGGCTGGATACGGATATATTTTGTAGATGATATCGCAAGAAGCCCTGAGCTTCTCTTGTGGTGTGTCTCCGATTCTGAGCCGAGTAACAACACGAACCTTAAAACCACAATTTACTGTACTATACTATCGTTATATAAATAACCCTTTAAAGGAAAATTATTAAAAGCTTTGCTGTATAAATAATTTATATACAGTACAATAAAAAAGCTACATGACTCTGTATCAAATGAAGTTGGTAACTTAATTACTCCTAAAGCATAAGCTTGACACCAAGAGATCGAGTGTAAATGTAAAACTTATTAAAATGTGAGCTTTTAACAATTAAGAGAGAGTGAAGCAGCCGGAAGTGCTCGCGGAGTACAGGAAGTACGCACAGTGCGCTCGTAAAGACGATAAATTAAGTGTTAATAATAGTCGATAGTTGATAGTTTTCGATTACGCCGCGGTCGCTTTGACACGCGACGCGGAGAGGCGGCGCGGCTTGCGGTGGAGCTACAACTTTAAACTACGTTAAGTTTGATCCACTTCTAACAGTGTTGTTTGGTTATCTTATTTTAATCTGTGGCTTATTGATTATTTATTTAATTAAAGTGGGTTGACTTGTATTGTTTTTTGCGACTAAAGGTTGTGGCTTCTATTTGGCAAAAAGAGACTGCGCCGGGACAGCCAGACCGGTCAAAGTTAAGGAGGTCAGAGTTTATTTATTAGTTTATTGTTATTTGTAATTGAAATAGAGGCTTTAAATGTTGTTTCTTTTATTATTACAGGTGAGTTAATATTTTATTGTAAGTGTAATTTTTAAAAACGTTTTTTGTATTTAAATTCTAATAGTGAAATAAATCTTTTATTATTACAGAAACGCAGTTAAGTCTTTATTTTTCAAATAAGATAAATAACATTATTATATACATATATCGCAGGATTATGTAAAGAATATTGCAGAATTATATAAAGACATGGTAGCAACTATGACGATCGCGATATTACATTTAATTTATTTTTGTTATGTGTACTTTAGTTTTATAATTTGCATAACAATGACAGCGACAACAAATAAAGCGTAAAGTTACGTAACATTTTTATTAATAATTATAATAATATTAAAATAAGATAAGTATTATAAATAACAACATACATTTTCATAGTAATAAAGAAGTCGACTACCTTATAATTTTATTCAAGATTGCGCTCAGATAATCGACTCTCTCAGATAATTCTTCGTTTTTCAAGGGCTTTGTCTGAAGCCTCCAAAATAGTTTAAATTATCATTCACATCAAATTGATTTAATTAGCATCTCAAGACGCGTCTGTACTTGATGACCTCGTCGCTCGCCTAGAGCTTACCCGAGAGCGAAACTACCTTTGTTTCTAAATATCATTAGCGCAAGAACAAGGAGATGTTTGATAAGAGTTTACTGATAACATTTTGTCCATAAATTTGCATTTTGCGAAGACATCATTCATAACGACAGCTTTCATTATGCATAAAGTAATTGTGTAAAGATACTGGTATACATTTTTTTTTCTTTTTATTAATTATCTTTTTAATAAAAATATTTTCATGTAATGACTGAGTATTAAGCTTTTGTCTTGGATTTGATTTTTGGACGAGTTTTTATTTCGAAAAGTGAAGAAAAAATAAGGTGATGCACATTGAATATACATGATTTGTATAGCAATATAATTCAAATATTCGAAGAGACCGAACGATGAGAACATTGCACCGCAATATGTTATAATGTATTACAGAAGAGTCTAAAACGAAGGCTATCCACCGACACGTTGCAGGTGGCGGCACCGCGGGCGTGCGGCGGTCGGCGCCGCCGGCATTACTGCACGCCCGATAGTAAATAATATTTGCATGAGAACTGGGAACTGGACTTTGCGTGTTATTTAATTCATTTTTAAAATAAAAATACTCGATGTGCTTTATACACCTGTTTGCATATATTTAATATTATAAGGTCTATCTCTTGAAAAGAAGAAAATCGTATAGGTGCGAATAAGACTTAAAAGTTTAATATTG